TGCAGCTGGAGCTGCGGGCAGGACGGGAACAGGCAGGTCAGGAGCAGGCGGATCCGGAGCAGGCTGGACTGACAAGCAGGGCTGGACGGGCAGAGCGGCGGCCTCAGGCAGGGCCGCGGGCAGGACAGGTACGGCGGCCTCAGGTAGGGCCGCGAGCGTGTGGCCAGCAGGGGGCGCCTCAGCGGCTGCCGCCCTCACTTGACCAGCAGGGGGCGCCTTGGCAGGCACCTTGGGCGTGTGGCCAACAGGGGGCGCCTCGGCGGGTGCCGCCCTCACTTGACCAGCAGGGGGCGCCTTGGCAGGCACCTTGGGCGTGTTGCCAACAGGGGGCGCCTCGGCGGGCGCCGCCTTCACGTGGCCAGCAGGGGGTGCCGCAGTAGGCTCCTCGGGCAGAGCGGCAATGGCAGCTGCAGCAACCGCAGGCCGGACGAGCGGGTCAGGCTGGACAGGCGGGTCAGGCTGGACCGGCAGTGCCGCTGGCAAAGCGGCGGAAGCTGCAGCAGGTGGTGCCGCGGGCAGAGCGGCGGCAGCAGCAGCAGGTGGTGCTGCGGGCAGAGCGGCTGCAGCAGCAGCAGGCGGTGCCGCGGCCAGAGCTGCAGGCGGTGCCACGGGCAGAGCGGCGTCAGCGGCAGCAGGCGATGCCGCCGGCAGATCCATAACAGGCGCCAGGGTTGGCGTCGGGAGTGCAGGCGCTGCCCCTTTAAGGGCCTTGGGGATCCGAGGAATGGCGTCCCAAACGGCCCTGGCCCCCCTATTAAACAGGCGTGCTGCCCGAAAGTCATAAGCCGCCAAGGGTGGCGGCATCTCATCGGCGGGGCTGGCGAGGGGTACTGGCAAACTGGAAGCAGTGATGACGCCCGGGGTGACGGCAGCGGAGAGAGAGCAAGCCCTCAGAAAGATCGCCGGTTCTTCTGCCTGCTTTCTCCCCTTGCGCCTCCTCCGGCTTGGCTTGGTGGGTTGAGTTGAGGCTGTCGCGGAGAGGGTGAACGCCTGGAGCCGCCTCTCCGTTATCCTCTCGTACACCAGCCGGAGATTTTCGCATACGTCTGTGAAGACGTGCGCTTCCGTGATCGGGGTGATCTCCTCCAGGAGGGTCCCGCTCCGGCTGGCTAAGTCCCGTGCCACAGGATCCTCCTGGATCTCTGGTTGGGACAGCCAGTAAATGACCTCATTTAGCAGATCGAGGCGTTGGTCCGCGATCTGCTGAGGTGTGCTGTTGAGATCTGTCATTCTGTCGTAGCGGGCGAGCGAGTGAGCCGGGAAGCAGGCGAGGCAAGCCGAAAATGCAGGTAAACGGGGTTTATTTGGGTGGACAGGACCAAGACACCTACAAACATCACAACAATACAATGACAGATCTGGGGAAGACTGACTCAGACGAGGACTAAATACAAAAGACTAGGCAAATGAAACAGGCAACAGGTGAGAATAATCAGGGAATCACACGAGGTAACGAGGTGGGCGTGGCACACATCGGGATTGAACAGAGCGGATCATGACAGCACCGACTGTATGTGTATGGAGTTTGCATGTTCTCCCCTGCCATTGTGGGTTTTGCATGTTCTCCCCTGCCATTGTGGGGTTTGCATGTTCTCTCCGTGCCATTGTGGGGTTTGCATGTTCTCTCCGTGCCATTGTGGGGTTTGCATGTTCTCTCCGTGCCATTTTGGGGTTTGCATGTTCTCCCCTGCCATTGTGGAGTTTGCATGTTCTCCCGTGCCATTGTGGGGTTTGCATGTTCTCCCCATGTCATTGTGGGGTTTGCATGTTCTCCCCGTGTCATTGTGGGGTTTGCATGTTCTCCCCGTGTCATTGTGGGGTTTGCATGTTCTCCCCGTGTCATTGTGGGGTTTGCATGTTCACCCCGTGTCATTGTGGGGTTTGTATGTTCTCCCCGTGTCATTGTGGGGTTTGCATGTTCTCCCCGTGTCATTGTGGAGTTTTCTCTGTTTTCCCAGAGTCCAAAGACATGCTAAGGTGAATTTGAGATATCAAATTATGCACAGGCCTGGATGTGTTGCTGCCCTCATTCCTTATTCCCTGTCTTAGTTTCGCCACCCTGCATAGGCTATGGAAGATGGATGGATACATTAAAAAAGTATTTTCAGGTGTTTGTGATCTTATGGTCCCTTGAAATTATTGTGAGAAAGGTTGCCATTCACATCTATAGTTTCCTGTTATACCAATGAATAGAGTCAAACCTTTGCCCCGTCACATTCCTCTGCACCATGTCATCTTCATGTTATATCATGAAGATAATATACTTCAATAAAGTATCAATCAATTAATTAATTAATCAATCATATCTTGGTATTTGGCTGCAGGAGAAAACTGGAGAACCCACACATTGCAAATTATTTGACAGGTAATGGGTTACATATACCATTGCGATTTGCTATTTTCTTTGCAGAGCTCTCATTGTAAAGAAGGTTTGGCACCCCTGACCTATAGGGTAGCAACAAGCTGCCTATGCAAAGGTACAAAGTGCCAGCATAAAACACAGTTATAACCTCACCTCACCATTGGTTCACTGAGCCTTGATGATAGACGACTGCCATGGACTAACTAAAACTAACAACTGTTAAATCCTTCCATGTTACCTGTTAGCTAGCCAGGTAAAACACTTAAAATACAATTTACCAAACACAGAAGTAGAGTCTCTTTTCTCGACTGACATAGACGCCCCCAAACCGACGTAACTACACACAGCCCAATTTCCAAAAAAAGTTGGGACACCCATGTAACATGAAAATAAAACCAGAATGCAACAATTTGCAAATCATATAAAGCTGTATATAGAAATTTTAACAGACATCATATGTACCCATGTAACATGAAAATAAAAACAGAATGCAACAATTTGCAAATCATATAAAGCTGTATATAGAAATTTTAACAGACATCATATCAAATGTTGACACCGACAAATGTTATTGTTTTATGACAAATATATGCTCAGTTTGAATTTGATGCCAGCAACAGTGGGCTAAGCCTGTGTGTCGCCGGTTCAAACCCAGCCTCAGCACGTCTGCGGGTCCTTGAGCAAGGCCCTTAACCCCCAGCTCCCTGGGCGCCCCAACAGGTGGCTGCCCTTCGCAGACAGCTTACTCTGCAAAGAGCAAGTTGAGGGAGGTGTAAAGACAATTTCCCCATGGGGATCAATAAAGTATCAATTATTGTTATTTTTATTACCTAATGTCATAAGCACCTGGACTCTTCTACCACAGAGCCATGCTGGTGTAATACACATAGGATGTGGTTTGGCATTGTCCTGCTGAAATACACAAGGCCTTCTCTGAAAAAGATGTTGTCTGGATGGTAGTATCCCTCAGCAACAATGTTGCCTTCCCAGATGTGCAAGCTACTACTGCATTAATGCATCCTCATACAATCACGGATGCTGGCTTTAGCCCGCAGGACGTGATTTCCAAAAAGAATTTGAAAGTTTGATTTGTCAGGCCACAGGACAATTTTCCATTTTGCCTCAATCCATCTTAAATGTGTTCAGGCCCATAAAATTCCCAACTACCTTGGAACCTTCGACTCTTGGCCCTGTTAGCGGCCTGAACACCAAGTCCACCAACTCCCACCCAGTGTACACCGATTGCTCTCCTGAACCACAGTTAGGTATGGCCAAAGGACTAAGGGCTGGTGGTGGTCCCTGTCGTGCTAGTGGTGGGTAACCAGGATGGCGATCTGTGTAGCAAGTGTGCGATTAAACCGCTCCACCAGCCTCAAAGTTGCATCCCTGGTCGCTAAGCAGCTCCTCTGGCACATTGAAATGGCAGAAAAACTCCTTGACAAACTTTTCAGTCGTGGTCACTGCGCTTTGACCTGGAACCATGTACGCCTTGGGCCACTTAGTAAAATACTCCATGGCTACAAGCACGTAGTAATTCCTGGAGTCGCTACGGGAAAACGGACCCAGCACGTCGACCCCCACAATTTCCCTCGGCATCAGACTGAGGAGGGCTTTGGGCGCCTTCCTCTCCAGCATGAAGGAGGTGCACCGTGGCCTCCTCATCGCTCTCGGCATTGTGCTGGGCTGCCAAGCTCACTGGCGACATGCTTAATAAGATACATACACTCACCTAAAGGATTATTAGGAACACCATACTAATACGGTGTTTGACCCCCTTTCGCCTTCAGAACTGCCTTAATTCTACGTGGCATTGATTCAACAAGGTGCTGAAAGCATTCTTTAGAAATGTTGGCCCATATTGATAGGATAGCATCTTGCAGTTGATGGACATTTGTGGGATGCACATCCAGGGCACGAAGCTCCCGTTCCACCACATCCCAAAGATGCTCTATTGGGTTGAGATCTGGTGACTGTGGGGGCCATTTTAGTACAGTGAACTCAAGCCTCAAGGTTGTGCGTGTTGTGGCTTCACAAATGCTTTGCTGCATACCTCGGTTGTAACGAGTGGTTATTTCAGTCAAAGTTGCTCTTCTATCAGCTTGAATCAGTCGGCCCATTCTCCTCTGACCTCTAGCATCAACAAGGCATTTTCGCCCACAGGACTGCCGCATACTGGATGTTTTTCCCTTTGCACACCATTCTTTGTAAACCCTAGAAATGGTTGTGCGTGAAAATCCCAGTAACTGAGCAGATTGTGAAATACTCAGACCGGCCCGTCTGGCACCAACAACCATGCCACGCTCAAAATTGCTTAAATCACCTTTCTTTCCCATTCTGACATTCAGTTTGGAGTTCAGGAGATTGTCTTGACCAGGACCACACCCCTAAATGCATTGAAGCAACTGCCATGTGATTGGTTGATTAGATAATTGCATTAATGAGAAATTGTCCTGGTGTTCCTAATAATCCTTTAGGTGAGTGTATAAGTACAGATGACGATTAACACTTATACTTAGTGCAACTGCCAGAGAGGTACCAGCAGCAGCACGGACAGGGGAAGTCACCAGTACACACATCAAACACCACTGGGGGGTGATCCTATCTCATTATGTTAAACCCCAGTGTGGTTTGTCATGATGAAACTGGAAGTTGGTGGCATGTCTCTGCGTCTATAAGAAGGCCAGCTCTGGGTCAGGGGCAGTGAGGAGCCGTCAGTGACATTGTGGCTGTAAATCCCTCAAACTATTAGGTAGGCAGAGTGTTAATCAGTCAGCTGTGTAGAGATGGTGAATATGGCAGGTTGGGTGTTTCTGTCTGCGGTCCTGCTGCTGAATGCTGTTGCAGGTAAGAACTTTTGTGGGTCTTAACCAGGTGATACTTTGCACTTCAGTTCCATTCTCTGCCAAACAGAACTTTTTTGGGGGGATTTTTCTTTATCCATTTAAGCATTTGAGTAGTGTAGTCAATGACAAAATTGTATAATTAAGCAAAGATACAGTAGTCCCCCTGTATCCACAGCTGATACCTTCCAAGACATACCGTGAATAGCCATAAGTGTGGATAATAGTGAAACATCCACAGGCCCATACATAGCGTGTTTTTCGTGTAGATGCATGTGGTAAAGTTGAATCGATCAATTACACACAGTAAGACATTATCAACAAAAATATTAATAATGAAGTACTTTGTACATTATAATACAATACTTTACTCTCTCGAATGAAAGGGATTCTGATGTTTTAGCCTAATTCTCAAGAGACGATATAGCAATGCAACAATATAATGTAGTGGAGACCAGGGATGATCATAACATGTGTTAGTTGTAACAAAGTGTATTTCTCAAATCAATAACGAGGTACAAATCACATTACACACTCTGCACATGCTCAGTTTAGTCTTTATTTCACATGAGAAGTAGGAGCAGCCTGTAACAAACACGCTCAGATTTGTAAGGAAAAAAGAAATTTCAGGTAAGAGAGTTTTTTTTTTGATCGCACTTCAATGTTATATCATGAAGATAATATACTTCAATAAATAAATTCAATACATTATTCAAACTTAAATCATTTTATGTAGTTTATGTAAATATCATTCATACTAGCTAAAATTGTTGCAAGGTAAACTTGTTCACAGCTACTACAGTCTGGGATAGTTCTAACGATATTTCTCCAACTGCCCACCAGGGTACTTCTCAAGCCTAGGAAACTTCTGAAAAGTGTGAAACATTTCCAAGTCAAAACTGGGTGAAATGCATAGACCAGGGGTGGGGAACCTGATCCATAGAGAACCAGTGTGGGTGCAGGTTTTTGGGATGACCTCCCAATCAGCCAATAGCAGTGGGTCCCTGAGAACCACTGCTGTATTATTGGCTGATTGAGTGATTCCAATAGTGACTAACATCTCTCTCTCTCTCTCACACACACACACACACACACACACGCACGCACACTATTATTCAGTCATTAAAACTGGTGCCCAGTTGCACATTTTGTTTGGTTTTATTATAATTGTTGATTTCAGTTGTGATTAACATATATACATTGTACACATACTGTATGCATACATGCCAAATTTTTTAAACAAAAAATAATTTAAAAATACTTTCAATAACTTGACATTTATAAGATTTGTACATTTGTGTTACAACTATCATTGACTATGGTGTAAATTGTAACATTTCACTTCTTGTGTTTGAGACTAAACCATTCATTGTCTGTTTGTGGTACAGATATGAAACCGTGCTGTTTAATAGAAGACACATGCAGGTAGTTTGTATCAAGTTTTGAACGTCAAAGTGTGTCAGCTTAGCCATTTCAAAACCTCTCCTGAAGTCACCCTTGAAATTTAGCAACTATCCAATACAGCCATTTATTATTGACTCGTCCACTAGCACAATTTATATGGCTAATCAATACCTCACTGACTTTTTAAACTAATTATTTAATTAATTGAGCTGGTGGTGAAATTCAGCAAATACTTGGATTGGCTGAGGTGCCCCTGAGGAGAGGTTTGGGAACTGAAGCGGTGTTCATCTAGCCATCCAACTAGATATCGGTGTTAGAAATTCTTGTTCTTTTGTTTTTTTATTTTGCTTTTGTTTTTCCTTTTTCCTGAGAAACAAACTACCCAGATAAAGATTTTCTTTCATTGCCGAAGATTTTTGCACAATACTGCTCAAATTACAAAAATACATTGTATGGGTGAAGACAGAAATAAAAATTAACTATTAAAGTTTCATAAATATTTAAACTGCTTAATAACATAAAAATATATACACCGGTCACTATTAAATTTTGACAAATTCATGAGTATCATGGACTGAAAGGATTTTTGCATCACAGATAAATTTGCACTGTGTAAGGGTAATTTTCCAATACCACCTTTGACGAAAACAAATGTTTTGCAATCAATCACTTTGTATTGGAGTCCATACTTAATAAGAAATAACAGAATATTAAAATTTTGATATTGCCCGTCCTTGAAGTAACATCAGCTAGAAACACCTAATGTCAGGGTGGATCCAACAATATATTGTAACTACCTAATTATTTAAAGGTAGTTTGTGTCAGATTTTTCTAGCATTATCTTATTTTATTATCTTAATAATCATTCACATACAAAACCAAAATTATACCTCATCCTGAACTTTACCCAATAATTAATCAAGCGATTGATTCCCTTTGTGCAACTGCCTAGTCCAGTGTTCGAAATCTGGGAGTAATATTTGATTTCTCTTTCAGTTGTGATTCGCATGTAAAATCAGTCTCACTTTCTTGTTTCTCTCAATTAAGGAACATTTCAAAATTGTTTCAACGGCTGAACTAGAAAAAAATTAATGCAGTTGTTTCATCGCGTTTGTGTAAGGAATAATTGACGACGGGCCGTTGAATTATTAGAAAATAATGCACACCCGAGGTGGTGATGCGAACGACGGCTGATATGCGTGTGCTTATTAGAACACGCTGCATTTTATATCGCTTGTAAGCGCGAAAGATATGGTTTATCTAAGCCGGTAAACAAGGCATTACAATAATTTATACTACGGGACCGTTGAATGCTTGAATCTGATTGGC